ATCCGTGGCAATGAAGAAGTGGATGCTTGGGCTAAAGATGCAACATCCAATGGTGACACATCACGCCTACAAAATTACTCTTCTGATATTCTTCAAATAGCCCAAATTAATCTTAAGTCTGAATGGAATAAAAGATGGTTCACCAATTCCAAAATTATAGGAAGGCACTATGGTAACCTACAAACCACCGTTCCAAGCAAGCCCTGGTTCTTCAAATTCCGCGATCTTCCTCGACGTGTTATTACAACAATTTGCCGCCTTCGTTTTGGCCATGTTACCTCCCCAGTCTTCCTTTCAAAGATCCGTATATTAGACAATTCCATGTGCGAGTGCGGAATCGAAGAAGGTACCACCGACCACATTCTCTTTAACTGTCTGAAACAACCTTCTTTATATGAACAACTTCCACCTAAAACCCCCCGTCCCATTAACCTAAATACTATCTTGTCTATTTCTAATATACCTATCTTTTTGTGTCTTTGTAAGCATATTAAAAAATATAACATTAAATTATAACCTACAAGATACTATAATATATTTATTGTCATACTTTTTATTTCATTTATTACTAAAATTTGTGACGTTTGCTTTGTGTTGTCCTTTTAGGTCAGGAAAGAGTGTACTCAAGGAAGAAAACATGTAAAAATAATTACTGAGCAATTTCATAAGTGTCTCTCTCACTACGGGACGTTGGCAGAATTTCTGTGTAAAACGGAAAAAGGCCATTTATATTAAAAAAAAAAGCCATTAATAAAAGAAGAAGAAGAAGAACATTTCGATCCAACAATTTGTTCTGCCATCTAGTGACATAATTTTTTCTAGTTTCTTTATTTTTTTTAAATTCTTCGTCATTGTTAAATGATTGCTAAATACATATTACAATTTTATTGTTTAATCCCTAATAGAAAAGTTACCATTTTTCGTTGCAAGGATTGCTGTTCTAAACTGTAGTTGGTTAGGTTTCAGTAATATTGGTCAGAAAATTATTATTAATATTTTATTAAACAAATTCAATTAAATATGTTATTTAAACACAGTCAAAATATTTTTTTTTTAATGTTGGTTGTTACTAATTTGGAAATACATATTGCGTGAAATGGATTTGTCAACAAACTTCCCCGTCCGTACATCCATGCTATGTGAAATAAAATGGATTATAATATTTGCAACTACGATATTCATATGCTTTACATTCCATATGTATAATTAGTTCTATATTTTATGTCGATTAATAGTATGCGTCGATGCAGAAGCATCTCTCTAAAAATTTCTAATGGCTAACATTCAAGTTTCTCGGTGTTCCATGAAGTGAGCATTCAAAATTTGAATTCACTATACGCATTAAGCTAGAAGATTGCTATTAAATACACGACTTGGGATTTAAATACCATTAATACTCGAACCATTTATTCCACTACTGTTTATTACAATGATTTCACATACTTAAGAACTTGAGTACCTAATGAAAGTCAGTAGTGCGTCAATCGACTACGCTAAGTATTCTTTAAACACTAGTACGAATGTACTTTATTCGAATTAGTACTCGAGTCAGGCTGACTCAGCCATAGAATTAATAAGTACTACGTACAACTGGAATGCTAACTGCGATCTTTTTTACATATCAAAATGAACCTTAACGATATGTGAATAAAGTGTTTTTTAAATAACCATTATCTACATAGAGAAATGAGCTCAAGTGAGACATCTTTTTTCTTGGTGTGTCTCTGTCGCACAATTGCCATGTGAAATATTGTTGATATAAAGGTGGTAAATTCGTGAAAACTGTTTACACAGAACAAAACGTTTTCTATATGAATATTATATTTGGCTTGTTTATAAGTTTACTAATAATATAAATGCAATAGCTTTTAGGTCCAGATAAATCAAAGTTTTTATATTTCACGACATTTCAATATTGTAGGCATGTTTTATTACCTTTACGTTATGCAACACTAGGTAAATTGAAGTATTCACGTGGCACCACAAAAGCAACATGGCGTTTTCTTTTTTGTCATATGGACTTGTTTTTAATGCTCTCTGAATTAAAAAAGTGCTTTAAATAGTATATTGGATTGAAAAATGGTAAACAATATATGTGCTGTGAGTGGGTATGGGAAAGAATCGTACCTGGCTGTGGATTATCTTTTCACAGGTAAGTATGTCATCAGTAGAAACTAGGGTGACTATACTTTACGTATAGAGATGTAAAGTACGTACGTACTATAAGCATAGACCCTATTATTGCCTAATTAAGTACTAAATTTAAACTTGTTGTATCACTTAACACTTTGGTTATTCACTATTTGCAAGTCTACCTACATTAAGCAAGCATGTGGAGGCTCATAAATGGGTATCCTTTAATAATTTTATTGGTCAGTAGGCTTATCGTTTGATCGATCTTTTGCAAATATCTATTTACACACCAAACCAAACCAAATTATTACTTTAATAAAAAATATACATTTTAATTTAAATTTCCAGTTTGCCATCGGATTTAGAGTTAAAGAAAAAATGGTTGATACCTGGGAACTTACATGAAAGCTGTGTGGTTTGTACACTTCATTTCAAAACCAAAGATTACCGAACAGAGGCTCGAAAAAGGCTGAAATCAGAAGTGATTCCTTCAATCTTGCCAAAGGTACCTACCTAATCGTTAAAGCATTCATTTATAAACAACATTATATCGAAAATAATAAGTTAAAACAACAATTCATATTATAACTTATTTTTATGTACCTACCTAATTTCATTACAGATTTTTCCTGATAACAAAAAAAAATAATGTGTAAAACGCCTTTAGTTATACGCCTGACTAAAGTCCTACATGTAAGAAGTTAAAACTTGATATTAATACTAGGCAAAAATCAAAAGAAGAGACATGAAGATGAAGATTAATAATTTAAAGTCACTTTTAGCAGTTTTAAAAGAAAATTGAAAAAATTATGAAAAGGTACAATCTGTCATAACAAACTGTTTCCCAAATATTCAGTAGCAATTGAGCAAAAATAAATCCAACAAAGGCATGAGATTCTCATAATAAGAATATCAACTTATGGCAAAGGTCTCACATTCAAGGCCATTGGCACATCTCGCGCTACTTTACGCCATAAATTGTACAAAACAATTTTGTTAAGTAATGTTTAATTTTAAAATGTAAACAATACAGTCATAATAAAATATACTATTTTGATTGCGTTTTATTATTAGGTCTTCCCCCAGTGGGGGGAAGGGGGGAGGGCTGCCTATGAAATTGCTGATTTCCATAGTTTCAAAATTTATTATTGTTGAGTTGAGATTAAATAAGAATTTTTTCTGCTTCATATTAATATTATTCAATTTCAATAATCAATATTTTCTTTTAATGTCCCATGTATTCAGGTAAGAATGGTTACACTACTTAGAAAGGGACAAACCAAGATTTATGACCTCTCACTCGGCGCGTGTTTAGACGCACAGTAAGCATTCTAGTTGTACGTAGTACTTATTAATTCTATGGACTCAGCACATCTTAGGGATGATCGATATTAGAAAAACATCGATGTTGACATCGATAACATCATCGTAAGCCCAACATCAATGTCCGATATTTATCGATAACTGAACATCGATGATTTTTTGGAATAACTAACAAAGAAATAAAATACAGTGAATCTTTCGAAATTTATTAAGAAACAGAAAAAAATCATTACCTATTCCAATATTTTATATCAACTGATTGAAAGAAAACTAATTTTGATAAGGAAGAACCTTTTAATCTATTTCTTTATTGATAAAAAGTAGAGCCAACGTTTCTAAACATTTATGTAAAAATATGTATTTCAAGATATGTATGTATTACATACACAAAAATTCAGTTTTCTTTTTATCAAAATTTCGATGTTTTTGGTAATATCGATTAATTTAAATTGATATAAATATTATCAAATATTAAATAATGCATTGGTCTTGCGTGAGGCCGTGAGTTAACATTGATGATTGATTTTGTTCACATCGATGTTAAGACATTGATTTTTTTGTTTTCAACATCTTTGTTAATAAAAAAATCGATAGCGCGAGTCTCATTATGGCCTTTGGAACAGAAAACACGCTATTATAAATTACGAATTGTTTAATAAAACTTTAATACAATTAAAATAACTAAAATGTAATCTTTGCAAAACAATTCACACAAGCTTGTAAATAATGTTTAAATTCTTTTCATAGCGGCTCAAAGACAGACCAATAAATAATAGATCAGAAAAAAGGTCAAGAGTGAGTTTTGCACTTTTACACAGATAATACACTAAACATAACGAGACTGTAAACGGACTGGTCGCCCTGAGACACGGACGTAATGCTTCATCATTCTTATTTTAAAATATGAAATAAAAAAGAGTTTGGTTAGAATATCTTTCACGAAAGAAGTCCCACGGCATAACTTTTATTCCTTTGTAATAAAAGCGAAAACATTGTGATCAGAGGGACTTCTTTCATGAGAAGAATTTTAATTAGTTTAGCATAAGTCATCTTATCACTCATACATGCGAAGCTACTCGACACTGAAAAAGAATCTTCTTGAAACTTTATACCTTCAATGCAAAACAAAATCAGCAAGCAGTTAGTATCGTTATCTTCTTACAGGCAACTTTTTATTTTTGTTCTCAAAATAACCTATAAAATCGTAACAGTCATTAAAGTACGTTATCTGTTAATTATACCAAAGAGTCTGAAGTCGACAGATTTATTTTTAACGTTCTTGGAAAATGCAAGCAAAGAAAAAACTATGTATTTGTTTGTTTACTCCAGTTAGGAGTGCAACCAATGACATCTAGTGGAAAGTAGTTGAAGTTGATATATTATGAGATCATCTAGCTAGTACATCTAGAGCACGTTAGATGACCCTAAGGATATATTGATATTTTATTCATAAACATCGATGTTTTCTAGTGCCGCAGCAGGCTTTTCGGCAGTGCCGATGTTATCGAAGTTAAAACATCGATGACAAAACATCGATGTTTATTAAATATCGATGAATATCAATATCCCTAGCACATCTCTAAAACAACCACAAACAAATTAAAAAAGATTCGGCCTCTTTTTCCGTCAATTTGACAAAATGGTACGGTCTTATGCTTTAAAATTATTTTAAATCGAAAAATATCCTTTGAATGAAACTAAATAATTCACAATCATAAGCTATATTTACCGCGAATGAAATTCATACTTCTAAACAGTGCATATTTTTAGTAAATACTAGTTTGTCATATTATAACCTACCTAACGACAATGTTTATTTCAGACGAAAGGCACGTCAAGTTTCGGTAAACGCCGCAATAAGACCCACACATTATGTAGAAGGTGTGGTAGATCATCGTATCATATCCAAAAGTCGAAGTGTGCTCAGTGTGGCTACCCTGCAGCTAAACTACGATCTTGTAAGTGTATTTCACTTGTAGAACTGCCGCATTTCAGTGCTCATTATTGTATTAAATTTATAACAACACACGTAGCTAAATTATAAAAAAAAGAATTGACCACTATCAAGTCACAGGCCTAACTACTTGGTATTATAAAAATTGTAAATGGTCATTTATGATTTTTTGGAAATTCAACCCTTAAACTTCAAAAAGTTTAAAACCGCAAAATCTAGTGATTCGTCATTATTTGAGGTTATAATCTTTCACCTGGAACATTTGTATAATACTTGTCCATATTTTATTCAAATTATGATGGTTGCTATTCTATGGTTTTAACATTGAGATTTTGAATTGCAGTATGAAGGTCTCCTTATTTCGGATGCAATATCCTTTTTGTTATTAGATTTAGTGTTTGGGCTTTTGCCCCTTGTATATTTTAAGTCTGCCTGTTCTAAAAGAAAAGGGTGTGTTGATTTTTAATGTGGTGTGGTAAGTCAAATTTATGTTATGTTTGTATGAGTGCATAATCAGAGGAACTAACGATTGATTATGATTTATTTTAATACCTGAATACTTAAAAAGATATATTTAATATCATCACATTATGAGCATTAAAAACGGGCCAATACCAGATGATTCTTATAAAAAAAACTATTCTGTGAAATGATAATAATTAACAAATTTCTCTAGCAGACTATAAAACAACATACAAACCTTATTAATCCTACACTGATTGAAGAAACATTTTTACCATAAAATGTTCCTTTGTATAATGTAGGTAAAGAAATTGATATTAATAACATGCATGAATATAACACAATTGTTACTACATTATGTTACTTTATCATACAGTTAATCTAATTGCCTTTAATTATTGGAATCATAGATAGTACTCCAATAATAATGATCTGATGAATAATTGTGAATATTTCTTATATTTTACATCGAGGAGCAGAGTGGTTCATACTCCTGTTTCAAGGTGTCACTGTCTCTGAGGTCCTGGGTTCAATTCCTAGATGAGTCAATGTAGAAAATTTACTTTTATATATTGTCTTGGGTCTGGGTGTTGTAGTACCTTCGTTGTCTCGTTGTCCTAATACAGAGGCTTTAAGCTACTCATCTTGGATTCTGTGCAATGTATGTGATGTTGTCTAAAATTTATTTTATTTTTATTGCCACAAGATATACTACACATATACAGGAATACTGGCACTTCCTCCTTAGTCATAGGTAATCTTAGGTCTGTAAACAATCATTTATTTATTTGATTTATTCATTAAAAATACTTTGCATTTACCCTTGAAAAGTATTCTTTAAACTTTTGGTACTGGAAACCAATTTCTGTATGTTATATTTGTTTCAGACCACTGGTCAGTAAAAGCTAAGAGGAGGAAGACCACTGGCACTGGCCGCATGCGTCATTTGAAGATTGTAAGGAGGCGTTTCCGCAATGGTTTCAAGGAGGGTAAACCTACTCCTAAAAAAGCTGTAGCATCCTCGTAGATTTATTGTTAAACATCAATAAAACATTTAAAACCATGAAAGCTTTTTATTTAGGAATTCAACATTTTTTTTATTATAATACCTGACAAGTTCTGATTTTGATTCTTAGATGAACTTGTCTACCATAGTCTAATGTAAAAAGAAGCTATAGCGGTATGGTAATTAGATTTATTTGTGGAAATACATATACCTATGTATAACTATAAAAAAAAGATTGTTTTGTATTTAAATTAATTATTCTTTTTTAATATAGTCCATATACTCTGCTTATATTTCATTGCATTTTACATTCTACCATACTTCTAAAGAAATGTCCTTAATATTGACACATTTTAAAAAAGTTACGACATTAGGAATAAATATTACATTTTTTAGTTATTGGATAAGGCTCAGAGAGATCAAACGTGAAGGAAAGCAATTTATTCAACAAGCAAACTAAGAAATAGTACTACTTTAGAAAATTAGGAAAGTAAGTAAATTCAAAAATAATTCTATCAGCACAGAGCAAACTTTCCTGATGGTAAAGTTATAGCAAACACGTTCATACCAAACCACAATTTGGCAGGCGTTAAAATTACTAAGTTTTTAGAAATCACGTTGAAATGACTTGATATTTTAAAAGAATTTGTTTCTAAACTACTATAGTTTTGGAGACACAGCGTGGCGCTACCAGAGTGACGTAAGTCTAGCAGAGGAGCAGCGCCATATTACCTATATATCGTTTGGCCGCATAATGCCTGATTCGGAAAATGCCCACTTAGCTAAAGGACTACTTCGCGTAATGCCTAATTCGCTAAAAGACCAATTTGCATAATGGCTACTTTGCCAAAGGACTAATTCATGAAAGGACTAATTCATGAAAGGACTAATTCATGAAAGGACTAATTCGCAAAATGGCCAATATTTACCAAACGACTTAAAATTTAACATAAAATAAAACACCAGTTAGATTCATTGGTAATATTCTTTTTTTTTATTTCTGAACAATATCCATTCTACATACCTATATATTTCTTTAAAAAAACGAATGTAGGCAGTGAAGAAGTAGAAGTACCTGGCATGGTTTCAAAAGTTTTTTCAAAAAGAGTCTTTATAGGCATAAAGTCTTCGGACACTTGTTTTTTTAATTTGCACATTTTAATTAAAACTTCGTTTTTGTCTTGATGAGCCAGACATTTATGTTCTGATTGCCTTAATATCTTCTTTAAATTAACATCCAAAGTCACCGTTGCACTACAATCATTTTTATTTACACAGCGCCACAATGAACTTCCATTTTTATTTCTTTGCCTAGTTTTGTTACATCTATGTTCGTGATACAAAAGGCAATCATTACCATTTTGATTTTTTTTCAAAAAGTAATGTTTCTTCTTCCATTTTCAACAATAAAAATATGAGAAACTTAACAAATGATGACATTCACTAATATTCAATCTCAGTCTTAATTAACGCAAAGAAAACTACCCACATCTTTCATAATATTTCTTAATGTTTCGTTTCGATTTACTCATTGATTAAAAGTACATTACCATTCTATATAAATTAATTGAATATATTATTACCTACAGTTTACTTACCTAGTTGAAAATGAAGAAGGAAAGGAAATAATAAGCTATTTTAGTTTCCTTTATCTAGGTCGTTACTTCAATAGGAAATGTCATAATTTTTAGTGACGAGACTACCAACTAGATGGCGGCACTAATAATGAGTCAACCACAGAGTCAACCAATAAGTTTGTGTTCCTATTTTTATTAGGAGAAGGAAAAAACCAAGTATTATATTAACCATAAAAAATATAGTATTGGATTATGTGTAATATAATAAATATTAAAAATATCTATAAATTACTATGCGTTATACATATTGTTAGTTACATTTTATGTAGAAATAAATGTTTTTGGTTAATGTTTTCTTTTGAGTAAATTGTAACTTTTGTCCTTTGGCCAAGTTGCCATTATGCAAATTGGTCTTTTAGCGATTTAGGCATAAAGGAGGCCATACATGTTAGGTTTTGCATGATGAATTTAACTGTGCATGCATAACCGACAGGCATAACCGAGTTTCATATTACACATATACGTAAGGGTTTGCATGCACAGTTTTGCCGTTACTCTCAGTTGAGCTACGTGACGGTGTGTGTAGGACGCCTATTTAAGTACTGTAAACGGTGTATACCTACCAAGCTACAATGGACGATGTGGTAGCTAGGTATACTTGGCTTAGCACTTGTTCTGCAGAGGAGAAAAAGAGTTCGCACTGAATGGTCTAAACGCTGTTTATTGAAAAGAAAGCATTTTTCCCACGTAAATTTGATAAATGAGTTGAAATTTACACCAACAGATTACAAAATTTATTTACGAATGGATGAAAAACTTTATTTTAAACTACTATCATTGATTACTCCTTTAATACAAAGACAAGATACTGTTTTGAGGAAAGCAATATCAGGTCATGAGAGGCTAGCAGTAACATTAAGATTTCTTGCAACAGGAAGAACATATAACCCTAGTAGCATTTTTGGTACGGCAATTCGTTGGGCCTTTGTTTGCTGTTCGGTTGGTCAACTGTGGGTAATGGCACCCCTGATTGCACTGCTGCCCACAAAGCTAAAGTACCGTGGCCCACCGTTACAATTGGAGAAAGGGCCAACTGAAGCTTTTCCTTTGTTGGTCCTAGTCACCTTTTACAACGTAAAGCCAACTGCGAATTTTCCCACAATTTTCTCACATAGGGCCAACAAACATTCTATAACGTTGGGCTGACCGTTCATGGTAGGGCAACTGTGGTATTTAATTGTAGGCCTAACTTAACTTTTACTATATAAGGCCAACTGCAGTGCTCCTCATAAAGGGCCAAGGACACAGGGCCAACTAAGATTTACTCATAATAGGGCCAACATATTTTGCAAAGTAAGGCCTACATACACCATCTTTGTAGGGCTTACAGACTGACTGCACAGTATATCATCGAATTCATGAAAACATATGAATATCAGCACTATTAAAAAGTATCAAATGGCCAACCAAAATATCGTAATAAAACATTTAATTACAAAATGTATTTATCAAATGTTTTTACCAATGTTGATAAATAATCATGAATCCGATGACATGCCTACTATTCAGTCAGTTTGTAAATCCCACAATAATGTGTCTGAAGGTCTTACTTTGTAAAACAATGTTGGCGCTATAACAAGTAAATCCTCAGTTTGGCCCAGTATCCTTGCCTTTTATGAGGAACACTGCAGTACGTCTCGTAGTCTTGGTGGGCATCATGGTGAGGCTGTAAAAATAAAATACAATTGTTAATTTAACCATATTTTATTTGGCTGAAAAACCATGAATTGGCGTGAAACAAAAAAAAAACAAAACTTGAAAAAATTACAATCAGTAGGTTTTTAAAACATATTATAGCTGTGTAAAAGCACCGCAAATTGTATGGAATTGACTCACTACCCACACTCTTAAAATTGAAACTAGCATTTCTCATTGAGTAAATCAAGCTTAATAGTGCAAGTTCATACACACATAAGGTACACAGATAAATGAATGGTCATTACTATCAAAATTAGGCAACAATAAACATTTCTTGCTTAAATCGTTTGAATTGACAATAACATTTTTTTCACCACTGACCATGTATATTCTCAATTTGATACTTTCAATGGATTCTTTGTAAAAATCTTTTTGTTTAAAAAACTATTATAGTGTAAAGTATAAGCATCAGATTTTGCTTCTACTTCAATAGATTTAACCACAATAATATCTCCATTGAAAGTAACAAAACAAGAATCTCTTAAACAAGTACTTACAGCACAGTTAAATACAAAAAAATCTTTTTATCCGTCCATCACGATTTATAGCCTTATTATTTTTCTTACCAATATTTACATTATTATCAAATTTCTTGTCAGCTGCTTTTTCACCCAGCCATTTAGCAATTTTCTCTAATGGCATATTATGCGAACGTTCCTCAAGGCGGCATTCTTTCTCCTCTTCTTTTTTCTATTTTTATTAATTTTATCACTTGTAAACTTCAGTGTTCGTATCATCTGTACGCTGATGACTTGCAGCTATACACTCAGGCAAATGTTGATAGTTTAAACGATGCAATTGATGCTCTGAACAGAGACTTAATCTCTATAAAGTCTTGGTCGGAAATGTTTGGTGTTGCTGTCAACCCCACAAAATGTCAGGCTGTATTGGTGGGCGGCTCTCGAATGACAACTAGAATCAATAATTGCGATCTCCGTGCTTTGGTCTTCGATGGCGTTTCGATCCCATTTAGCCAAAATGTGAAAGATCTTGGGTTATTTATCGACTGTAACTTAAACTGGCAGGCCCAAGTAGCAAATGTTTCGAAAAAAGTTACTGGAGTGCTACGAGCTCTTTACCGCATGAAAAATTTCCTACCTATTAACATTAAGGCAATGCTAATGCAGACCCTAATATTTCCCATAATCGACTATGGTGATGTATGCTATCTCGACTTGAATGCAGATCTACTTAATAAACTTGACCGTCTTCTGAATAACTGCATTCGATTCGTTTACAATCTACGAAAGTATGATCATGTGTCTGAATACCGATCATTACTCAAATGGATGCCCATTCGGCAACGCAGGCAAATGCGAACTCTAACCACCCTTTTCTCATTACTAGATTCACATAATGCTCCTTCTTATCTTACTCCCCACTTTCAATACTTGTCCACAAGTCACACTAAAAATCTACGTTCTGCTTCTAACCGTTTGCTCATGTGTCCTTCTCATAGCTCTGATGTACTTCATTCTTCCTTCTTTATTAAATCTATTCTCCTATGGAACTCTCTTCCTTTAGACCTAAGAATGTCTACTAGTCGGTATGCGTTTAAAACTAAGTTACGCAGCTATCTTTTAGAGCAAGCAGATTCCTTTAATGGTTAATCGTGTATGTATGTATTTAATATATTATATTTTTATTTATGTATGCATGTATGTTTCTATGTACAATATTATATAGTATGTATCTTAAAGTATATATATTAATTAGGTTGTCTAGTTTAGTA